GTGGTGATTTGAAACAATTTTTTGAAGCGCCCAGAGGAGCGCCTGCGGTAGCATAGGCTCCACAGGCGCTCCTCCGGCATACTCGGGCTCTGATTGGTCGGGGGTTTCTGTCAATATCTCCTTAACGAAGCCTCGAGCAACATTTTCGTTAAGAAAAAATTGTTTCAAATCACCCCCCCGAAACACCCCATTCGAGGACATCCAACGTTTTTGGGTCATCCTGTATATTGCTCATAACTATTGTTATTGCATGAAACCTATTGGTTATAGATTGCCACTAAAAAGAGTGAAATAAAATAATTTTTTGGAAAAAAAATTTAACCGACTTCAAAAAAGGTACAGTGAAAAGTATGGAATAATTTCTAGTTAATTTATATGAATACGCACTAGCTCTAGATATAATTGCTTAAAAGTATGGGAAAATGCAGTGAAAAGTGTGAAATAATTTCTATTTAAACTGCATTGTTATTCACCATCGTTTGATGAATTTGGTTAAATTATTAAATACATCACATTAAATGCAATGCACCTTTTTCGGAGGCGGCGCAGATGTAAACAATTTTTAATTCCGGTTTGGGTTAGCTTTTGGTAGATGCGGCAATATTGAATGCTGTCAATGTATACATGTTTATTGTCTATAAGGAATTAATAGTTAATGTTAATTGTTAATGTTAATGTTAATTTAAATAGAAATTATTTCACACTTTTCACTGCATTTTCCCATACTTTTACGCAATTATATTTAGAGCTAGTGCGTATTCGTATAAATTAACTAGAAATTATTTCATACTTTTCACTGTACCTTTTTTGAAGTCGGTTAAATCTTTTTTCAAAAAATTATTTTATTCCGCAACTGTCGCTGAAGTCATTCGAAGTTTGGCTCTGGGTCCTGCGCATCCTTAACTTCCCATAGGCTGATGGTCATCAATTACACTCGAGCCCATTTTTTCTGGTATCTACCAGCAACTCGAGATGTTTCTTAGCATTCTATTGCCATGAATTCTAAGCTATCTAGATTTGAGAATAAGGTCACCTTTATTTATTTTATTGGCACTTCGAGCTCCAAATTAAACCTAAAGAAACATTAAGTATTGTAGATTTGCTGCGTGAAACCTAATGGTGACTGAAAGTCATCTCCCGAGTACAAAGGGTTAACATTATTCTAATAAAACTTCTTGTTTACAATACTTGTACTCTGTATGCTTTCGAACACGAATCCTTTCCCAACAAAACATTCTAGGAAATTGGTTATTTTTCAGTCGTTCAAATCAATAGGACAAATAAATAATTAAATAATGATTTCATTCGGAATGTATGCCATTCTATTCCTATACCTCACACAGTTCAACTAAAATTTTTGACTCCATTTTTCTTTAAGCTCTATTCAAATAATCCCAGACGTGTTCAATAATATATAATATAAATAAATCGGCACTTTCAGGTAACCAAGTCGTAACTTTTAATATTTCATTCTCCTCTAAATCTTTTAAATAATTTCTTTATAAATGTATTGTATGTGTACACAGTATTCTAGTATATATAAAGTACAATAACAAATATACATCATATTTATTTTATTAACATAGATTTATTGAAGTGTGATGCAAGATTCGGATGGTGGCCCAAGACTTGCACATTACTGTACATATGTCCAGTGATAGCTGCAAGAGTGGTTGCACAAACACTCTACCACCATCTTTTAGTTTATTTAATTTAATTTAAGTTAACTGCACAAGTTATAAATGTAGATACCAAAGTGACACGCGGGCCTTGAATTTTTCTAAGACGTCGGAATTGATCTATGTAAATAATCGTTAACCCAACCAATTCAATCGAGGACATCCGTTACATGGGACCGTGCGATTGTTGCTACAATCTTTTAAGAGACACGAGACATTACTTTTTGGGACGGCACAGCCCACAGTGCCTCACGAATTCGCGTGGGCAGGATCCTTCGAAATATTATCGTTCCCTACTCGTGATTCCCCGCGTCATTGTTTTAGGGGAGTGCAAAGCTGATGATATATCACAGCCAAAACGTGTTCTGGAATATTAATGCCGTCTATTATGCACTCCCTAGCACAATCTTATATACCATGGGACATTTTAGTCGCGATGGAAAAAACTACTGGCTTTAACCCTTTAGCTATTCAAATTATTTAATGGGTAAAAGTCGAGGAACAGCACTGGAAATGTTTATTGCATCACCCAAAAATCCAATTAACACTAAATCTATCGACTTTGATTTGTAACTATTTCTACCGTGACGGGGCAAAAAACTAGTCTTTTTCTCAATTAAATGCAAAAATATTTTACGTGGACCTAATTGAATAATGTATAAATGTATAAATGTATGTAATCCATATATTGCATATAAGAACAGCAATGTATGTACAGTAGAGACTTTTCCGTATCCGTACCCCCATTATCCGAATACCCTAATATACGGACGTTCTATTACACTAGTTTACAGTCAATATCCTTGATAGCGCTGCTCAATAGTTTTGATATCTTGGTCAAAACCTTTCGCCGTGTTCGTCACTTACATCGCCAAGATTCTCCGGGAAAAAGTCCAAGTGAGAATGTAAAAAATGAATGTCGAGCGACATATTTACGCATGTTGAAATTAAAATTGAAATTAAATGTACAAATTTTTCCATTTTGTCAAATCAAATAGAATAGCAATATATATTCCATACCCATTTTTGCATAAGTTATTAGCAACTCTTCAACAACTTCCTTATAATTCATACTCTGCCGAGCCAGAAGCCCTAAACTGTTGAGCAGCGCTATCAAGGATATTGGGATGAAAGAATGTTGGGAGACTACATTTGGTTCCTCATCAGAAGAACAAACCCAACGAATAACAGAAGACAAAGTAAAGGCCGAAATTATTTTTAATCGAAATTAATTAAATAAATGTTTCCTATATAAATAGAAGAAAAATACAAAAACAGAATAAAATTGGGATTTTTGTACTTTTACTCAAGTGATCCTAACTCCGGTATTTATCCATAGATTTTATTCGACAAAAGCTTCTTTTCTTCGTAAAAGTGCGATCTATACGTAAACAATTAGAAACTGGACATAATTTGACAATTTCTATTTTTCCATGGCGATGGAAGAAATATTCGTGTTCTATTTTAGCCGAAAAAATCAAAGTTTCTTATATATATTAACTCGTAACACTTAAACTATTGAACCGATTGGAAAATAATGCGAATAGTAATGGTTGGAAATTCGATTACCTTTAAAATGGTGTCTTGTGCGGCCCAATCGGACGTTTCTAACTCGAGATATGGCCTAAAATGTGAAGGTATGCCAGAAAAAAGTCGAAAACAAAATTCAAAAATTCATATAAAAAAACCTATCCATAGAAAAATTGTTTCTATCCATAGAAAAATTGTTTCTTGCGATTATCGAGTTTAATAGGCCAAAATACATAAGAAAAGAATTGTGGCATTGAATGCACATTTTTTTTTTTTGTAAACTAGTGCTATCCGTATGTTCTGTTATCCGCACAACGCGTTTCGTAGCGATGTTTACATACAATGTATGTACTTAGACGTAATAAATACTTCTCTGTGTTCGGCCGGTTAAATATAATCATATCGATTCAGTCTGAAGCAGAGAACAGTATATTAATCATCAGTCACAGCAAACGATCTGAACGACAAATCCGGCAAAAATGACTCGAACATATTAAACAAAAATTGTTTTTAAACACAACGAATCCTTCTTTCCCATTGTTTCCCACGCATTATCGTCATCAATTCCCTGCGTAGAAGTTGCTGAAATATATTCCGCGTACTTGATTGGCCCCATAAGTGCATTCAAGTGTACCCGTATCGTCTCCGAAACGTTTATGCGCAGCGTTTCGGCTTTCAGATTGGTAGCCCCGTTTCGGAACCCCTGACTGTTGTCTGTGACGGGATCGTTCCATCATCTCGCTCGGTTGACTCACAAATGTGCCATTAAAAATCGGTGCAAAGACCCGTTTCTCGCCCACTGCTCTCGTGCTCCGAATTTGTATAATCCCCGGCGTAACGAATATCGAAATTGGCCTGTTCTTGCGCGCGTTTCGAAGTACACGACATTTAAGCCTTTCATTTGACAAATCGATTAACTCCATAAAATAAAATGTGCTGAAAATGACAAAATGGTGTACATTGTTTTAAAAAATCCCATTTCAAATTATTAGATTGGGCTGTACTTCCGGAAGGCACCGGTGGCCGATCGAGATGGAACTTAATGGGTATTATGAGAGATACGAAAGGACCCCAGATATATGTAGAATTTTAGGTTCGGCAATTTATGCGTTTAGAATAGGCCTGGTCAAGCAAAATAGTTTCATATGGGCCACTTTAGGTACACATGCTTTTAAAAAATATAATACAAAATGATAAAACTTTATATTTTTATATTTTTACATACAAAAATGAATAAAACTTTATTCTTGTATTATGATTCAATATAATAAATTCTCGAGTCTTGATTAGTGAGATATTTGTATTAGCATCAAAACTATATGCAATGTTCGTAAGTATATGTCCGCCACTGCAAGTAGTTGGCAACGTATAACTCGCGGTTCAAGCAACGACCCACGATGCCATAATTGGCATATCAATCAAATGCAACATCAAAAAAGTCACTAAATAGAATTCAGAAAGATTTGTTACTATTAATTTTAATTAAACCATGAACATTAAGACGGATCCTTATCTTCATAGGAAATGTTGTTGCATTTCTTTAACATTCTTACATTCACAATTTTATATTAACTTCGACATTTTGACTTTAATCTGTATCTTTAACATTCTTACTTCTAGGTATGCAGCTTTCACTATAACATTCCTGCTTACATAAATAACGTCAACTTTAACATTCTAGTTTCCATATACATATTATTTCAATTTAAACGTATTTAAAAAACTTCCCAAATAACTTAAACTTTAAGATTCTAACTTCCCTTAATAACTTTTTATCTAAACAGTCTTACTTTCATAAATAATTTCAAACTTAACACTCTTACTTTCGTAAGTGACTTTAATTCAAATCACTTGATTACTTTCGAAATAATGTTATTCGAAATGTCATGTCAAATAATATATTACTTTATTTCTGAATTGTGTAAAATTGTTATAGGGATAATGGTTTCTGTTGTAGATGTGACAATGATCGCTATAGTTATTTACTTTTTAAATTAAGCGTCACTGTAAGACTCGTTTTTGTGTTACTAGTTTTTTAATTACTAGATTAAGTTTCGTTTTTGTTCAAGGGTTTTTTTTTTTTTTAAGTCTTATGGAGAAGATCACATGCGGCAGTAATTAATAATGTAATCTTCATATTATCAAGTAATCTTTTCAAACAACTCCTAACCTGAATAATATCAACAGCTTCCTCTAGTTGGTAGCTAGGTTTTGTGCGTGCGTGCGCGCGCGCGCGCGCGTGTGTGTGTGCATGAGAGTCGCTTAGTGTAAAAGAATAATGTCTAAGCATAGTAGTAAAGTTTATATTATACAAATAAATGTAGTACAAAAATATAAGGAAAAGGAAATGTCATTAATCACGCCAGTAAAAGATAAATAATAATAACAAAAAAAATAATTGTGAAATTGTTCTTGAAAATTGTATAGATGTATTCACAAGTACACGACGATTTCGAATTTGAAAAGGATGAAGATGAATTCATCTTTTGGCTGCACTTTGCTTTGGCGGACCTAAAATGTTTAGGTTTTTTTACATAACCTAATGATGAATGCCATTAAATTACAATATTCTTTATAAGTGACAAGTAATTCAATGGTATTTTCTATGAAGTAATTTTAATTGAACGCCATCTACTTAAATTTTTAAAATTAACATTGTTTTAAAATCTGTTTTACCGACGGGGTATGTCTGCAAGGCAATATGGCGTCGGAAGTGTCAGTTAAATACGGTAAAATGTCCACATTCAACTTCTCGTAACTTATGAAATAGTGGATTCTTCGCCTTGAAACTAGCAGTTTCGGATTCTTCTTGACAAAATCTACAGGATTATATAAAAAAAACCTACAAATTTTAGGTCCGCCAAGGTAAAGTTTGACCCATCTTTTCATTGCTATTCCGATATGAAAGGGTTAGTGGCAGTAATAGGCAAAACCCTAGGTTTCGAAGTTTGCCGATGTGTTTGTCTCGTTTCCTTCTTTGGAAAATGTTCAAAAGAGGAAACGAGACAAACATATCGGCACACTTCAGATTTATTCGAAGTCTAGGGTTTTGCCCATCACTGGTTGGTGCTTCCTATTCTTGCGATACATTACTTAACCTTAAATATTAAGGTTAAGTATTTTTTAAGGGTTAAATATTTTCTATTCTAAATTCTTTTCACTTATTAAATAATTAACAATTGACAGTCTTATTTCATACTATTTAGTCTTTGTTAATAAATCTTAAATATCTAATATAAATCGAAACTTGAAATTATAAGTAGGTATGTTCAGTTTAAAGTTATTTATGGAACCTGGAATGTTCAAGTTGAAGTTATCAATGAATGTCATTGCCGCATACCTACATCTTATGAATGCATTGCACATGTAAATATATTTGAAGTGGCTCAACTTGAGAAACGCGATGTTTGCGTTACCATCACGGAGGGGTTCAGCAAACACTTCTTTACTAATCACCAAAGTGTTCCAACTTGGCTCAGACTTGTTTCCTAACTTGGGAATTCGACACTCCTTTGTCGTGCTCTTAACGTTCCAAACGACGTTTACCTCCTTGTATTAGGTGGACTGGAAAGTAATGTCGTTTTTGCAATTTTAAATATTTGTTTATCACTCATCAGCTCATTGATTTTTACCGATCTGGCATTCGAAATTTGCGCACTAGATAGCGAAAGCCTGTTGATAACGAGGGCGATTAATTAAAAATAGAGATATATTAAAAACTTGTTTGAACGTAATATAAAAGAAACGATGTTACTTTCTAGTCTACCTAATATAAAACTTGACATTTGATCCTACAATTATTTTCTTAGCGTACTTTCCCTTTTACCAATACTATTTGTTTAGTATTATTATTACAGTAATGGACAATTCTAGTTCAAAAACAGAAGAGGAGCGGGGAGGGGTGTAAGTTTTCTGAATTCAACTTCTTATGACTTTTCACAAATAACGAAAGTGTCTCAATTTTGTAATTAGTTTTTCAAAATATCGAAATACGAACAATCAACCTGTTACTGTGCGTTCACAACAAGTTGGCGAGGCAAACGCATTTTTTTTCTCACTCTTTCTCACTCTGTCCCTCTCTCCTGCTACCATGTGCTACGTCGTTATTGGCTACGGCCAATGACAAAGGACGATAGCGAACATATCGAGACAGAGTGAAACAGAATAACGACTTTACAGCATCGGCGTAGCTTCCTAATCAAAGTGCCGACTATTACAGTCCTATAAACACTTATAAAGATAACGAAAACCCGAGAATGATTAAGAAAAGAATACTGAAGCCACAGCATCACTATGTTGCGGCAATAGATAGAACGTATATATTGTATTTTTTTCTAGTCGACACTATAATGGGAAGCCACGCCAATGCTGTGAAATCAATTCATCTCACTCTATCCCGATATGCTCGCCGTCGTATTTTAGGGTTATTTTGGCTGCAAATTACGAATCTGGTATCAGAATTTCAAAATTCAAAATGGCGGATCCAATATGGCTGACACGTATATTAAAAAGTTGTTATATTTTCATGAAACTTGGTATTTATGGTTACTTGTGCCGCAAATTACGAATCTGGTATCAGAATTTCAAAATTCAAAATGGCGGATCCAATATGGCCGAACGTATATTAAAAAGTTGTTACATTTTCATGAAATTTGGTATTTAAGAGTTATATGAGCCGCAAATTACGAATCTAGTATCAGAATTTCAAAATTCAAAATAGCGGATTCAATATGGTCGACATGCATATTAAAAATATTAAATTATTATGAATTTTTTATGAAATAGGATTTCTAGGTTTATAGGCCACCATAGTTAGAATACATTGGCAGAAATAACAATAATAAATTAATGTTAAATTAAAATTAAGGATAATAAGGTTTGTTTTAATGTCAAGTAAACAGTCTTCTTTTCCTTATAAGCATGAACTTTAAATTTAAATAACTTAAAATGGCGCAAATTTGCGCAAGTTTTCTCAATTGGATATCCCACCTGACATGTTACTTTATATCAAGAAACTTGGCAGAGCGTGTCACTCGGTGACTATCATCTTTGTTTTCCTTCCGATTCATCGAAAGATAACTAAAATTTATACCATATTGAGATGAGAATTACAATAGTGAATCCAAATATATTTTACTTTGTTCTTGTGGAAAGTCTATGTTTATAACATTTACTTTTATTGTAAAATGATTTACATATGAATGTATTGAGGATAAACTTTCTGTGTCACAATAAACATGCGCCACTTTTCACGATATCAAGGAGCATGAAAGTTCGTCAACTTTGAACCTCTGTATATCAGTAACCGATTACTATTTTTTAAAATTTCAAACGGCATTTAATACACTCATATGTATACAACACACGCACAATATTGAAAAAAATGTGTTTGAAACTTCAAAAATTGCATTTTCGCCAGGTTTTTGGCCATCCGGACCACTGTGCGTCGTCTCTTGTCACCGGCCGCAGCCAATGACGACACAGCACGTGGTATCAGGAGAGGTGGAACAGAGAGAGAACCGTGTCCTTGGCACGCCAACTTCTCGTAAACGCAGAGTAGTCTAATATATAGGGTGATCTACGCAACTGTTTCAAGTCATAACTCCGTTATTATTGCATTTACGAAAAAATGCCAAAGGAAAAAGATAAATGGTTCGAAGAGCACTACATCTGTAGGCCTTTAAATTTTTGTTAGATGCAGCAGTGGATATGCAATTAACAATTGCATCACTTCTTTAAATAGAAATGCATATTTTTGTTTACACAGATCGATTCTTCTGTTCATTCTACGTAAAAAGTGATTAGGGTACCATGGCAAAAAAATTATTAGATCTCGAGATATTTTCGAAAAATGTCTTTATTGAAGAAGATGCTCAAACGCTTCACGACTAGTAAGGTAAACACGCTTGTAAAGGTAAACACCCTTTCGACGACATTGTTATCATAACAGAAAATGATTTGTACGAGTAAGCATTTTATCATTCGGTAGCAATTCACGTATCGTAACTCGAGTGCGAAAACTAAGAATTGGAAAAAGTGTAACTGTATTTTCCTAAATACAAGAAAATGTATTTTACTAACAGTGAGAAACAAGATATGTACGACACTTTTGTGTTGTGCGATGCAGCTGATTTAAACGTAGTTATACAAACAATAAAAAAACGTTATCAGAGATGTTTAGAATGTAATGGAGAAGCGTCGGAGCATCTTCTTCAATATACCCATTTTTAGAATATATCTCGAGAACTAATAATTTTTTTGCCATGCTACCCTAATCATTTGTTACGTAAAATAAACAGAAGAATCGATTTGTGTAAACAAAAATATGCATTTCTACTTAAAGAAGTGATGCAATTGTTAATTGCATATCCACTGCTGCATCTAACAAAAATTTAAAGGCCTACAGATGTAGTGCTCTTCGAACTATTTATCTTTCTCCTTTGGCATTTTTTCGTAAATGCAATAATAACGGAGTTATGACTTGAAACAATTTCGAGGACCACCCAGTATAAATAATTCCGTAGATAATAACTTACTAACATAACACAGCCTAACACAGAATAATACGCTCTAACACAGAGCAATACAATGTAACACAGAATAATACAAAATAAGAAATCATTATAAATCATAGTACAGAATAATGCCGAATAATACAGAATGATACAGAATAACACTTCCTAACCCAGCGTAATACAGTATAATAATACAGTATAATAAATCATAATAAATCATAATAAATCATAATAAATCAAAATAAATCAAAATACAGAATAATGCCGAATAATACATCATAATACAGAATGATACAGAATAACACTTCCTAACACAGCGTAACACAGTATAATACAGCCTAATGCAGCGTACTAGAGCTAGTACCCACTTCCGAATCACTTGATCATTTCACACAATCTTAGAGGAACGAATCGGTGATCGCAAGCGGCGTTACCGCGACGTAATCGATAAATTAATATATCCTGAAGAGAAAGGAACGGTTCGCTACCCCCATCGAAAACCGTCAAAAATTGCTCGCACAACTGCCCATAATTTATAGCTCTTTGTCCATCGTGGGAACCCGATCGAATAGTTTTCGAAACAGTCCTGTCTCATTTCCAACGTACCCTTGGCAACGGTGTGTCTAATTTCTGAATTGCCCTTCTCGCCCTTGCATACCACCCTTACACGTCCATGACAAATCACTGAATAGTCTCGGGAACGCTACAGTTTTTCTTACCGTGGAATTTTCACCGTAGCAAGCAGGCCTTCATGGTTGATCTCCTAACTGGATTTTTGGGAAATCCGGGTGGAATTTCGTCGGGAGTCAAAAACGCTTTGAAAGTAACGCTACGTATTCTTATTATAGGCTAAAGTCATCCCGAGCAGTTTCTTTCACGTCTTTGCCGTTTTATTTCCATTTCTCTTTAAAATACATGAACAGAATTCTATTAGAATGATAAATGACAAATAAAACCAAACCAGAGCAACTTAATTCTGACATTAAATCAATTCATTAAATCAGTTCATTGTTCATTTTGAACTATTTTATTCTATAATTTAATTTTAATGTTACCATCATTCCAAGCATTTTCTATGGCATTTTTGCCATTTTATTTTGGTTCTCTTTAATATAGCTCCACAAAATTCTATTGGAATAATAAATAACGAATAAAATCAAGGTATAGCAATTTATTTCTTATGTTAAATAATTTAACAATTCGATGTCTATTAATTCTATAATTCGAATTCTAATTTTTATTTAACGAACAATGAACAGTTGTGTTTATCTTTTATTCGTTATCTGAAATTTTGAAATAGTTCTAGATACAAACTTTGTCCATCTCTGTCTTTTAGGAACATTGTATAAA